TTTTCTTTCAGAAACATAAAAGTTTACATTTAGGTCTAGGATTAACGGTTTTTGTTTTTTGTTCCCCCAATAAAAACATCCTAGTACTCCCATTAATTTGTTGACAAGTCTATGGTTGCACTTTGGTCAAAAAGCAATCAATCATATAGTCTCAGGTCTATTTCCGTGTTCTCTTTGTTCTGATCTACACTTCTACCTTTATGCCAACAACAGTGTATTGGATTAGAGTAGCTTTACCGTAAGTCTTGAAATAAGGTAAAAGGTAAGTACCCTTCAACTTTCTTCTCTATTTTTAGTCAAAGTTGTATTGGCTATTCTAGGTCATGAGATTTCCACATAAATTTTAGAATCAGGCCATTAACCTTTTTTTTTTTTAAGAGAGAGTTTTGCTATAGAGCGTATACACTCACCAGAGAGACAGAAATGAGAAATCACCCCCTGGGGTGATGGCCACACCACAATCCCTTCTCCTTCAATCTCTTCTCAGAATCTTAGGCACACATGCACATGCGCCCAGTGTGAGTTTTAAGTTGCCAACTTCAGGACTTGAACTGCGGTCGACTATGCTAGCAATATAACTGTAACACCATCTGCTGGATCCTAAATCAGGTCATTAATTTTTACAAAAGAGCCTGCTGTAATTTTGAATGGGATTTCTTTAAATCTATAGACAGAAGTGGAATCTTAAAAATAATCTGAATTTTCCAACTCATGAACACGATAAACCTTTGCATTTATCTAAGTTCATTATTTTTTCTCAGCAATGTTTTATAGTCTTCTAACCTCAGATCCTACACATATTTTGTTAAATTTATCTTCAGTATTTCTGGGGCAGAATGCTATTGTAAACTACATTTTTTTTTTTTTTTAATGTAGGAGCACATGCACGCATGCAAGGAAAAGAAAACGGAAGGAAGCACCACCCCTGCAGACCCTGGTCACACCACAATCCTTTTTCTTTCAATTCTCCATTTCATCAGGATCTTGGATACATGCATGCCCAGTGAATTTTGTAAATAGATTTCATAGTTCACTGCTAGACACATAATTTATATGTTTAGATACATAATTCATTTGCTTACATTGAACTTGCATCCTGCAACCTTACTAATTTCACTTACTAGTCAAACAGCTTTTGAAATAAGGTTCTTTAGAATTTTTTGTATAATTGCTTTTTTCTGAATAAGGACAATCTGTCTTCTGTCTTTCCATTACTTGTTGATTTTTAGCCTTCCACCTTGTCCAAAGAGACTTACTGTTATTTTTATTTTTTTTACAGAATTATTTTATTTAACTTTATTTATTTTAATTTGACTAGAGAGGGACAGAGTGAGAGAGAGAGAGAGAGAAAGGGAGAAAGCAAGCTGCCAGGTCCAGGACTAAAACCCCGGTCAGCCATATGGGAGTCCAGCACCTTTAACCACCATGCCACCTGCCAGCCCCAGAGATAGAGGGTTATTAAATTTTGAAAAAAACTAGACAATTTCTTAATTTTTTCTAAAACCTATTTGTCCAGGAAGACTTTTAATTTTTAACACTTCTAGTAAAATAGAAATTGTTGATCATTTCACATTAAATTCTTTTTGGATTCATTTATCACTTCATTCTAGACATCTAGAGTTCTTCACTTCAATTCACATTCACTGGAAAAGAACTCTGAAGTGATAAAGAAATGTAGGGGTAATCTATACTTTTTTGTTTTTTTTTGTATAGGGTATATACACACTCACCAGAGAGAAAGTAGGGGAGCAGGAAACGTGTGCATGTATGTGCATGCCCAAAATCCTGAGAGGAGAAATGCAGAAGGGACTACAACATGGCCATACCCTCCCCACCCAGTGAGAGAGTGCTTTCTTTTTTTTTTTAATTAACTTATTTAACTTTATTTATTTATTATTATTATTATTCATTTTGATCAGAGAGAGAGAGAGGGAGAGAGAAAGTTAGAAAGCAAGCCACCAGGTTCAGGACTGGAACCTGGTCGGCCATGTGGGAGTCCGGCACCTTTAACCACTACACCACCTGCTGACCCCAGTGAGAGAGTGCTTTCTCACCTTCTCTCTCTCTGTCTCTCTCTGGCAAGAGCACATGCCATACAGCAAATAAAATAATTTTTAAAGATGATTATTAATTACTCTAACAAACACTTATTCTAATGAGCAATATAATTCTTTGCAAAGAATAAACATTCAGAAACATTCCCCTAAGCACTCTCATCTTTAAATTGCCCAGTCGTGAATTTATATTAACGACAAAATGATGTTAACAATATTTGCTAGAGAACAAAAAACTTTAGGTGACTTTATAAGAAGTTTGTGACCATGACTTTGTGTCCTACATATTAGCAAGTACAGCACATACAAAAGTAATGAGACAGACATAGTCTGGACTCTCAGGTACTCTTTGCCCTAGGAGGAGACCTACCCTAAACTGTTGTAGAAGATGGAATCAGCAAACCTCCTAGAGAAAATGACATCTAAAATGAAACCTGCAGAACAGAAATTAGCCAAATAACTCAATGTGGAACAGAAGAAGGAAAATTGTGGCAAAATGAAACGAATGTGCAAAGCCCCAAGGTCACGAAAACTGGGACCTTTTCTCATTCATCAGAAAATGAGAGTGGAGGGGCCTACCACGTGGTGAAGAGCTGGACTCAAACATGATCGACCATGGTTCAAATCCTGGACCTGGCAGCTTGCTTTCTCTCTCTCTCTGGTCAAATTAATAATAATAATAAATTACATTAAATAATTCTTTAAAAAAAGAAGAAAAGAAAATGTGACTGGAATCCATCAAGCAGGAAACATAAAGTAGCTTATGATAATTTCAAGTCTAAAGAGAATTAAAATATATTTTTAACAAAATGAAGCAATGGGGAGCAGCAAATTAGTAGGAAATGAGTCTGGCACCTTAGACAAAGGCCACAACTCAAAGAGACAGAGACAGAAGAAATATGCTCCAGCTCCTGGTCTAGCAAAGAGTAGATATGGTACAAAGGATTATAAGGAAGACATGAATCGGGTGGTGATGAAAAAAGAATAGCAAAAAAGATTATTTTTCTTTGCAATGCCATCTTTTTATTCAATGACAGAAAAAGAGTTCATTTGAAGGAGTACTGCAACTTTAGCACTGTTGACTGGACAGGATTTTTATTTGTTGCAGCCAGGCCTATACTTACCAGATGCCAATAGCACCTGCTAGTGTGTCTATAGATGTTACCAACTATTCCCCTGGGAGTAAAATCACACCCTGAACTAAAAACTACTGGGGTATAGTGATCAAAAGGTCTACATGTAGAAGCCAAATTAGCATATATGTGTATAATTTTTTTTTAACCTCTTTTCCTAGAAAGTATGCTCCTAAAAGACAAGACATATGCCTTATATACTTTTGGACTCCTGTAAGGCACTATTACTATAATGCTGGGCATCAATTAAACAAGAACACGATGCATTTCAAAAATGGTTCTCAGGATCCAGCAGGTGGTGTGGAGGAGGTTAGGATCCCAAGAGGCTGACCCCGTAGCTTGAAAAACACTGGGCGTGGGACCCACAGTTAGCATAATGGCTATGTCGCTGATCTCCCATGTAGTCGACCACTGTCTGAGTCTCGGACCTGGTGGCTTAAACTCACGCCGGGCGCGTGGCATGGGTGCCCAAGATCCTGAGAGGAGAATGGAGGAGAAGGGATTGCCATTCCCCCGGGGGGTGATTTCTCACTTTCTGTCTCTGTTTCTCTCTGTCTCTCTGCACACGCACGCACTCGAGAAACCTCTCCCAAACAGACACACATACACACACACACACACACACACACACACACACACACACACTGAGCGTGTGTATGAGCATGCCCAAAATCCCAAGAGGTGACTGAAGAAAAGACTTTGGCATGACATTCCCCCTGGAGGGTAACTTTTCACTTTCTCTGTCAGGCAAATGCATACACCCTATGGTAAAAATGTTTAAAAAGAGAAAAAAATAGATAGTTCTCTGGATAGCTCAGTGTGGTGGTTAAGGCACCTGGATTCCACATGGCAGACACTGTAGTTTGTATCCCAGACCAAGTGGCTGATAAATACACCAGAAACGTATGTGTGTGTGCTCAAACTCTTAAGAGGAGGGAGCGATAGAAAAGGGATTTTGGCATGACCATTCCCAGGGGTGTATGTGATGTGTGTGCTTTCTCTTCTCCTCTCTTTCTCTCTGTGGTAAGTACACAAGTCCTCTAGCAAAAAAAAAAAAAAAAAAAAAAAAAGGTAAAGAAAAAAAAAAAAGAAAAATAAATATTAAAAAAACAAACAAAAATGGTTCTCTCTAGAACACATGAATAAAAAAGTGTTCTGGAGTTCACATGAAGGAAAGGACCAACAGATGGCATGCTAGAGGTGGTAGTTGAGGTGCTAGACCTCTACATGGCCAACCACAGTTCGAATACTGACCCTGGCAGCTTGCTTTCTCACTTTTTCTTTCTCTTTCTCTCTGTCGCTCTCTGGTGAGTGCACGTGCACTACAGCAAATTAAAAAGTAATAAAAAAATTAAACAAATATTTTTAAATGAGAGGAAAAACTTTAATTAAAATAGCAACATACCCTTTCTTCAAATCCAATAAATAAATATTTATTAAAATCTGAGAAGGGGACCAGCAGTTGGCATAATGGCTATGTCAGTGTACTCCCATGTACTTGACCGTGGTTCAAGTCCCGGACCCAGTGGCTTAAATTGATGCCTGGCATGTGTACATGCATGTCCAAGATCTCATGAGGACAATGGAGAAGGGATTGCAGCATGGCCATCCCCCGAGGGAGTGATTTCTCGCTTTCTGTCTCTTTCTAGCAAGTGCACCTGCCGTATAGCAAAAACCTCTCAAAATAAATAAATAAATAAATAAATAAAAATAAAATAAAAAAATCCTAGAAGAGAATCACTCATCTTGAAGTTAAAAAACAGGCAATATTCTTCAAGCAGGAAGCCATACAGAAGAATATGATGCCACTCACCTGTAGCAGCTGGGTTTATAAGTCCTGCAGAACCACTGTTGGCAATCTGTGAAGGAGCCTGGCTCAGCCCAGTGGAAGGGGTTCCTAATCGAGGAAACTGTTGGGAGCTCATTTCCACCTGCAGTACACAGTCACATGGTTACTACTAAATTCTGATATCTGAATTAATAAAGAGAAATTAAAACATTGTTAGTCCCTATGGTATCTTCCCTTGGAAAAACAAACATCTTTCAGCCAAAACAACTTGTGTTCAATATAAGGGCAGTTATCTAAATTATCTAAGTTTTTGACATATATAGGTTCAGTAACATTATTTACACAGTGCAGGGGGTACTATAACCCTTCATAAATACTTGTGAATTGCTACACTAAAAAAAAAGATTTTGAATCCTGCACAACAGTCACATGACAGGTATGACCACAATACATATGTACCTCTCTGTGCAAACTTTCACAGAAAAAGGCATGTCTCTTTGAAAGGCTCAAACCTCACACCCCAAGGCGAATAGAACTGTGATCAGTATGTCACTGGCAGATCCAGAGGGAGGATGCCTAGCCATATGAAAGGATTAGAAAATCTTACATCTATACCTGATTGAAAAAAAGAATCCTAAAATGACTTTTTTTTTTTACAAAGGCCTCCATTTAAGGATTTCCTTTTTATTCTCTCTTTCAGAGACCCCACTGAGGCAAAAAGATCCAAGACCTTCGCCTTCTCCAAAATCGTCTCCCACTTTCCCTGAGAAGCCAAACCCAGCCGATCTCCCCCGATTCGCTTAGCAACCCCACCCAGCCCCGAACCTCTGCCGAGATCGGAGGATATAGGTTTCCAGACATTTGGGGTATTTGAGACTCACATTTCCCAAGCGGCAGGCCGTTTTGGGGCACCCCACAAGATAAGCAGTGTGCCTCCTTCACTG